TCAGCATAAGGGGAAAATTTTAAAGATATAAAAAAAAGGCCTTGAGGTCCAAGCAGAGGATTACAAACCAGTCCAAGAATTGCATCCACAGATGAGGTTAGGATTACATAAACAGCAAAAACCCTTTTTTAAGTTTTCTTCCCAAAACTTCCTGAACACTAATGCATTCATTCAACATTATTGTAGTGACAATAGTGTAAAAGTGAGTAAATGCTGTGCTGATTTCTTCAAAGGTTTGCTCTTTCTTAAGGGTAACTTGTAATAATGGGATATTATATACAGTTTTTAATATCAGTGGGGATGAATGTGTAAGGATTTTTTTTTCATGATAACATGAGATAACAGTACTCAACAGTGAAATAAATATAAAGATTTCAGTATATCTTAGTCATAAAAAAATAACATTATATATTTGTAACTTTCCTAAAGGGAAGGACCACAGACCATGTAGGACATTGATGGTAATGTATTATTAAGTTTGTTTTTCATCAGTCACTCACATACCATCACATATGAAAGAGTAAACAGTTTTTAAGTATCAGCATATATTCTTATTACTAACACATTTCCAGGCACAAATACTTATTCAAGATGATGTTGGTCTTTTAGCAAGCAGGTGACGCATATTTGTAAACAGTTACTGTTTGTATGTATGTAGATGAAGCAAAAGGAGAAGATGCAGATTTTTACAAAGAAACAGTATTAGGAAATGTATTTCACCTTTCAAACTACCTTCAATTACTTCTCTGTCAGAATATCAGTGTCAAGAATGAGCTAGTAGTTCGCCTGCTTCCTGGTTTGAATTTGATTGGCAGATTAGTACCCTCTTAGCCAGTGATATGCCTAGTGAAATCTCACTGGTATATATATATATATATATATTACTTTTATCTCTGATCTGTCTTTCCACAACTTTATAAATTAGTGATTTAATTTAATTAAAGCACATGTTTCCAAAAGACAAACATATTACAATTATGGCACTTTAGTCCATTCCATGTTGGTTTTTGTCCAGTAACTCTTGAGAGGATTCTTTGATTAGGTTCATAGTATGATATGATGATATACACATCACATGAAATATTTGTTACAATAACTTTTGCCAACTCTTTTCAGCCTGAGAGTTTTATGCCAGCTTGTAGAATGGACTTATAAATATTAATGATATTTTGCTAAAGTTTTCATATACTTCATTCAAATGCTTGTATTTATGCTATTTCAAATATTTTTTCTATATTAGTTTAATAAACATGCAATGCAAGACAATGCAATAAAAATTAATGAGGCAGCATTAGAAAAATAAGAAAAGTAATAAAAAATGCAGCAGTATAAACTAAATTAAGACCACAGGTTTGACACCTGACTGGATTTCATCTTCTAACTTATAGAAGAAAACCAGGATGATGTTGAAACTACGGTCTTCTAGTGAACTTATTTTGTGTATAGTTTTTTAGGCCATTTAATAAGCACTGTAGAGATTTTTGCCATTCATTTAGAAACTATAGTATAAGAGAATATATGCTCTTATATTTGCATTCAGTAGAATGATAAAAATTCAATCCAGGAATTGATTAAGTATTTGACACAGCTTCAGCCCTGTGTTGACATTTTGTATTTACAAAAAATATATATTTTTATAGGTTTTCACTGCAACACAAGGATATAGATGTTTATTTGAAACTATTGGTTTCCAAAAATGGAGGGGCCACTATGGTTAGAACCCAGGGGTGCTTCTTGATTCAGTATTCAAATTTTAAGTTACTCACTATTCAAATAAGTTCATTATTGTCATTTGAGCATAGAACTCTTGTTTATTTGGTTTTGGGTAAGAATAATTTGTGGAACAGGCAGAGACACACTTTGCTGTAAAAGTAAATTCAACTTGGTTTGGGGGTTAAAGATAAGAGTGCTGCAGAAAAAAATCTCTATACCCCATGATTATGAAGTATTTGTTTTTTTGGTGATAAAGGAACCCAGTTGATAGAATAACTAGAAGAAAAATATTGACAGAGAAAATCCTACCAAATATTTGTGAGATTTTTATCATTTTTAGAGTGGTTCATCAGTGCATTCATTGTGTTATTAAAACAGAGAAACTTTAAAATATGCAGACAATGGTTTATAAAGTATTTTAAGTACGTATATTTGTGAGATTGTGAAACCCACCTCTTTTAGTATTTTATGTCTGATTTATTAATGCTTTATTGAGATAAGGAAACAATACACTATGTTCTATTTTTCTATTAGTTATTCTATTAATGTTCATGTATGCCTGCACTTTTCCTAGTACTATTTGGTGCAACTAGGTTGAGAAAGAGGCTTGAAATGCCTGATTAACTGAAGGAAGTATCTCATTCTGACACATCTTGTGTTATTATGCTGATGCTTTTTGACAGCATGATCTAAAAAAATTAGTAAGTTTTGAATACATTTTTAACATGACAGATATGTATATTAAACCTTTTCCACTTCCATTATGCATTTATCAGATAATAATTCTAGATTTATGCTGACTATATCTGTTTTAGTTGTTTCGGGCATTTATACCTTTCCTTTGGAACTCCACCCCCAAAAAAATAAGAATATTAAATAAATAGATAAATAAATGGAATGCTCAAAAGTCGTGGATAGGGATTTGTTTTTCATGGAAAGACCAGATCAAATTCATAAGAAGTATATACATACTTGGAGAGCAGGAAAAAGGAATAGTACAATTAAAATCAGACTATACAAGAAGCACTGGTATTTGATATGGGTAAACCAAGTTGATTGGAGGCCTTTTGAATGCTGAGCAAAGGAGGAAAAATGCATGTATTGGAAGGATCTTGATGGAATGTAATATGTAGTAGAGTGAGAGATTTGTGTATTGTGAAAGTAATTGCAAACATATATGAGTGCATGTTACATAGAAAAGAATTTCAAAAGGTTTATATGTGCTATCCATCACATATGTTGTATATCTGCATTACTGCTCTCTGTATCAATATTTGTATGTGTGTTTTGATTATGTGCAAAAGTGCAAAAGGGCAAGGCCAAAACATTTGCTGTTAAACTAATTTTGAAAGACTAAGGGAGAGACAAAGTGCATAGATTTGAAGCTTCAAGTAGTCCATGTATCAATCTGTCATACAGTTTCTAGTTTGATATTGGTGTACAATACAGGGATATATTTTGGAACAGTATACTGCCAACAGATTTAAAGAAAAAAATGTGATACTGTAACCATCACTCTTATCTTATTAATCTTTGTTTTCTCTTGATTGCTCAGTGTTGCAATAGTCTATTATATGAAAATCCTCATTTGAAATTATATATACAGTACACATGTAACTGATACGATGAACAGACTTCTTCAAACTTCTTCTTCAGACTTTCTCCTATTGTGTATCTGCTTGTAGATGTCTTGTTTCTATATTGACCACTACTTGTATGTCAGTTCTATGACAGAAAATGTTTTCATGCTGATGATAAGCTTGAGATGAGACCCTGTCCTTAGATATTAGAAGAGTTTACTTGCAAGCAAAGAGTTCCAGGTTTCATGCCTGGAAGATGGGTTGGTGCCTTTTTTCTTTAATGTAGGCAGCAAGTAATCAACTTTTTAGAATATAAGCAACAGTGAGTGTACTTGACAAAAAAAAAAGAGTTCTATAGAAGACTATTTATTCTATGAAGGGTACAGTGGAAAAAGAGAATCACTGATGCTATGAACTGGAAAGGCAAACTTACCATATTTGAAACTGAAGTGTATGATTACTTACATATATTTGGTATTAATCAGTTATGAAATATATTTTAGCAGACCACAGTCATTTTGAGGAGTATAGATTCAGCTTGTGTACATTGTCCATTACAGGAAAATATATATAGCTAATTTGCTGTCAGTAACTGGGAAGTGGTTAGTGTTAAAAAAAGACAAGATAATATCTTGGATGTTGGACATATTCAAGATTTAACTTTTTAAAGTGCTTTATACTTGCCAGTTAGACAAAAAACATAACTGCATAATAAATATCCTTTAGTGGCACTAATAGATACTAAATATTAATATGAAAAGACATAAATTAACAGAAAAAAATAATCTGATGCTTTAGTACTTTCATTCATTTATTTTTTTAATGAACACTTTTTTTTATTTTATATGTTCATCTTAAGTGCACTTTATGTTTAATAATGCATGAACTGATGGGAAAAATATAATGTGGGTGGTATGGCAACAGAAAATATACAGATATTATTATAAAAAAATGTAAATCATCACTGATATTTTAAGTATGGTAATTAGTTTTGTAATCTTTAAGTACATGACAGAGATCTTTGTTGTTTTCCATTTTCAGTATATAAAGGAATATTGAATTTATTGTGTAGTAAAGCAAGCCTAATATGTATTATTATTATACTTTCCTCTTAAGGACAGATTTCTATATTGCAAGGTCTGTTTGCGAATACACTTTGTATATAATGTAAATTTCATCTATGCATTTTGCATATTGCAAGAATACACTTGATATGAGTGAAATCCAGGTTATAAGCACACTTATTTGTTGGAAAAAACAAATGCTTATTCCAAAAATGTTTCACTTGTTTAAATAAAAGTTTTTTTTATTTGTGGGTCTTCATTTATCAGGCCAAATCAGATTTGTTTCCATTATTCAGTTTCTGGGTTTTATTTGAATTGGAACCTCCTTTTTGTTCAGCTCTTTCTAAGTAGCTATGTATAATACCTGACTTTACAGTGCAGCTATAATATCACTCAAGGTACATCTATGCATTTGGTAAGGGTTTGTATTTTACTGGATGGAATTTAAGGAAGTCCTAAATGATGACATGCGACATCACTTCAGTACATTAAAATCTGGAATTTGTTTGGGTGCTCTGCTTTCTAGAAAATTTATTGATATGTGCAATAAGAGGGGAAATATGCATTTTTTTTTTCTTGATTTATGACGGGTAACAATGCAAATATTTGTAGTATTTAATTTCTAAAAACTTCCATTCTACAGGAACAACTGGTATAGAACATGTGGCAGACACCTGATACACACCTAATACACATAAGTTGTTGAACTACAGTCTAGAAAAAGGATGATGTTTTATGGTATTGTAAATTTTATTATTTACTACTGTATTACCCAGATATATATTAAAAAAGATTTTCACCCTAACATTGTCCTGGAATTCTTCAAATCTGAATGTGATAATAAATGTACAATACTGTCTTATCCATCAGTTGACATGATTAGGTCAGTTGCAAATGCTATCACAGGAAGAGCAGTATTCTTAGCAAATGGAAAACTAAGAATGTCTAGCGAAAAACTTTCTTTGGAACTGGTTTTTCTAATGACAAGCTGTGGTTAAAAGGAGTTGTTGTGATTGCCTATGATTTGCGGCTTAAATGGAAGGGCACATATGTATTATACTTGTAAGGGTTATACAATGCTTCTTCATATTTCTGTGTATATAGTCTTGCTTTAAATAGGTGTACAGTCAAGTTTCCTTTGTAAATCAATTGAGTGATAAATTATGAATAATATTATTAACTACTATTCAAAGACTATTTCTCTGTATCATATATTTGGATAGACAAATAAATTGTTGAGAATTTATAGCAGTGAATTATTGATACCCCCAGTAGTATTTATATGAAGACACAAGTGACTAAAATGTTGAATCCTACCCTGCTACTTTTTTTGGTCAAGCCTCCACACTAATAAATTACATTCTGTAAAACTATCAATCTCCTCCTGGTCAGCTCCATTTCATCGGAACAGACATTGGGAGACTGCTCTCGCCCGCTTACGCATTGGCCACACCCGTCTAACACACTCCTATCTGATGTCACAATCTGATCCACCCCTATGTTCCTTATGTAATGTTCCCCTTTCAATCGTACACATCCTATTGTCATGCCCACGTTTTGAAGCAACCCGTACCTCTGCTTTCCCCCACCTATCCTCCCTTCACCGACCTCCCAACCTATCAGACATCCTTACAGAATCCCACACTTTCTGCATCAACAACCTGTTCTCTTTCCTCAAACGCATACATATCCTTTATTTAATCTAACACCCGACCTTAACCCTTTGACTCACCAATTCCATTGCCCAGTTTAGACAACTAATCACTAACTCAACCACCTTTCACTAACATTAACTATAGTGCTACATGACCTTAGATGTCTAGCACATTTATCTTGCTTTTAACCATTAACCATTAACCATTAACCCTGCTACTTTTGACCTAATGCCTATGAATCCAGAAGGAGAGTAAATCCCTAACTTGAAATGATTATTTGGTAAAATTTGATGTGTAATGTGGTAATGGTTCTAACGTAACTCACTTTTCGTCCAGTATTTTATCCAGACATGGTACTTCCCACTACTATGTCCATGCAGGTAACAGTTATATTTCAAAGGACAGGACAAGATTACCACTGTATGGCAGATTATCAGCACCATTTTAACCATTGTTGCAAAGATTGTGGTGTGCCTAATGTCAACCTCTTGCACTTATACAGGGGGGGGTGAGTACACTCACCTCCTCAGACAGGGCCTTTCTACCACTGCTGCCAGGCTGGTGAGATTATGCCTCTTCCTTGTACTGTGAAAGCTAAACCGCTTACTAGTAATCTGACTACCACAGTAACCATTAAGTGATGATGAATTAGTCAAGACCAGTCTAAGTAACTCATGTAATCCCTGGGCACAGCTACTTTTCTCAAATTTCACTGAACTAAAATGAACCTTAGGGGGGGGGGGGAAGCTTACACAGCTGGGAAGTTGTCTCTTGCATTTTTTGTGTGCTTTCTTCTCGTCTGGATCAGAGGAAGCTCAAGTACATATCCTTCCTCCATCACCCTTGTCTTTGGCTCTCTAGACAACTGCTTAGTGACCCAGTTCTTCATGACATTGCTGTGTACTTGGATCATATTACAATATATAATGTAATGAATCATTTGGATATACCCTGGAATATAGTTAGACAGCTTTACAAATAAAAAATACATTTCAAAAGCAAATGGAGAAGAACTATGATATTCTAATATAATTCTAATACACACACATACATATAAATGAATAAATAAATATGTATATATATATATATAGTGTGTGTATATGTATATATATATATATATATATATATATATATATATATATATATATATATATATATATATATATATATGTATATATATATATATATATATATATATATATATATATATATATATATATATATATATATATATATATGTATGTATATATATATATACATATACATATATATATATATATATGTATGTATATATATATATACATATACATATATATATATATATATATATATATATATATATATATATATATATATATATATATATGTATATGTGTATATATATACAACTATATATATATATATATATATATATATATATATATATCTATCTATCTATCTATCTATCTATCTATCTATCTATCTATCTATCTATCTATCTATCTATCTATCTATCTATCTATATATATATATATATATATATATATACATATATATATATGGTAGAAAAACCCACAATGTAAAAACTAGAACATTGTGGGTTTTTATACCATAGTATCAACACAGTAGAGTGTTTTCATCATTCATATATATAAATATATATATATATATATATATATATATATATATATATATATATATATATATATATATATATATATTATATAAATACATATATATATACATACATATATATATATATATATATATATATATATATATATATATATATGATATATATTGTAAAAAAAAAAAAAAAAAAAAAGCCCCACTGTAGCACTATATTTTGTGTCAACAAATAATAATATAACAATATACATCTATATATACGTACATACATACATAAATATATATATATATATATATATATATATATATATATATATATATATATATATATATATACAAATATATATATATGCATATATATATACATATATATATATATATATATATATATATATATATATATATATATATATATATATATATATATATATATATATATATATGTATGTATGTATGTATATAGATATATTTATGTATGTGTGTATGTATATATGTATATTGTTATATTATTATTATTTGTTGATTTTTTTTCTGCTAAGTCAACATCTAAGGTCATTAGTAGCATACACAAAATATAGTGTTAAGGTGGGGCTTCAGGATGAAACCCCAGGATAACAAGTTTTTGATTTACAAGGCAATGTTTGTGGATTTCTAGAATGATAAAGGTCATACAGGATCATGGTAAAGGATTGTGGCAAAAAAGGTAAATATGAGTCAACAATTTGGATAAAGAAGAGAAGGAAAAGGGAAGAGGGAGAAGAAATGACCCTGCAAAATTAGTTGAGGTGAGAGCTAAGGTTCAAGGCTTGGGTGATCCCTTCATACATACATACATACATACATACATATATATATATATATATATATATATATATATATATATATATATATATATATATATATATATGTATGTATATATACATGTATATATATATATATATATATATATATATATATATATATATATATATATATATATATGTGTGTGTGTGTGTGTGTGTGTGTGTGTGTGTGTGTGTGTGTGTGTGTGTATTTATATATATATTAAATATATATATATATATATATATATATATATATATATATATATATATATATATATATATGTATATATATATATATATATATATATATATATATATATATATATATATATATATATACGTGAACGAGAAAAACGGATGGAAAAGGTTTCAGAGGTAGAAAATCGAAAGTTGTGATTGATTGCTTAAGAAAAATTTATGCAGACTGGAGCTGATGGAAAGCTGGAATGGAAGGACCAGAGGCAAAGACAGCTTAGTTATCTACGTATAGTGGATTCCTGGTGGTAGGGATGAAATAATTCATTTATAGCAATGGGAAATAATGTGGTGCTGAGCATGCTGCCTTGTGGAACACCTTCGAGCTGAGGGAAAGATGAGGAAGTAGAGGCAAATCAGACACGGAAGGTGCGATCAGAAGGAAAGGACTTATGAATACATCCACGATTCCGCGTATGCCATGGGGAAATAGTTGTTGAAGAATACGGTGCCGCCATATGGTATTGTATGCCTTTTTTTAGATCAAAGACGTAATACTGAATCACGGCGTGCAAGTGATGATGTGATTTGTTTTTCGAAATAGGTAAGAGGATCAGTTGTGCTGAATATTGATGGAAGGAAGAACAAGGAAGTAGGTGGAAGATATCGTAACATAAGACAATGGGCCTTCGTGAGTGTTGCGGCATAACTATAATGTATAATAGATTTCAGAAGAAAATTGTGGATTATAGGATTCTGCAGAGGACAGGAAGAAGTTGATGGGAGAGCACTCTTTCTGATTGTATGGAAGACGAGTGAGGAGAAAAAAGAGTCACTACTGATCTGGCTAAAATAGGCATCAAGTTCAGTAGCTACTTGGTGTAGTCCGACATGAGGCTATTGTGAATATAGAGGACAGGGCGAATGAGGAGATGAGGAGAATGTTTACCTGATAGTTTATGGATCTGCCGCCAAACTTTACAGACTGATATAGATTGATTAATGGAGGATACATAATTTCGCCATCTGTTTATGATGAAGTTATGGATTATGGGCTGCTAATTGACTGTGGGTGCCTTTCTTATAACGATAGCTATTCTAAGCTGCACGTTTCAAACGAAGTGCTTTAGTGCATTTTAGATTCCACTATGGAACACATATGAATGTGTAAGATCGGGTGGTTCGAGGGATGGTTGTATAGGTTGCAGTTACGATATTGGCTGTGAAATATAGAAGCATGCCTGGAGTGGAAGAGAAGGATGACGAGGAAACTCAAAAGTAGAGAGAGAGGTAAAGGTATGCCAGTCAGCTCTGTCAGAGCACTAGCGAGGGGGTTGGGAAGTGGAACATACGAAGTTGGAGAAAAGAGAATAGGAAAATGATCACTATAACGAATGTGGTCTAGAACTGATTAATGGAAACCTAGACGAAGGGAAGGAGAGCAAAGAGAAAGATCAAGGCATGAGAAGGATTGGGTGCGCATGTCAAAGAGAGTGGGGCCGTTTGAATTTAGGAGGATAAGGTTAATATTTGAAAGTGTTCTAAGGAACGACCTAGGTTATCAATAATGGAGTCACACCCAAAGAGTGTGGCGACAGTTAAAACCTCCAACTATTAGGAAAGGTGGTTGAAGTTGGGAAAGTAAAGTTTCAAGGGCTATAAAGTCAATAAAATTGGAGTGGGAGAAGTAAACTGAAACGATCGTTATCCATCGGCAAAGTAAAATGCGAATAGCTGTACGAGGTACAGTGGTTTGTAAGGGTGGTATAACATATGGTGTTTTGTGACGGACAAGAAGGCCTATGGAGGAGACGGGTAGGGAGTAGGGGGAATGACCTAAAATGGGAAATGGGAATAGGTACTGGAGGGTGTGTGAGGAAGGTTTCTTAGAGGCAGAATGTTGGATGGTTCGTAGGAAGATAGGTGGCAAAGGTCAGGTCTGTGAGAACGGAAACCTGGAATAT